CCAGAGTAACAAGTTTCAAACGAGTCTAATGAGTTTTTGAAAATTTGCCCGCCATTTTGAAAATTTAATTTTAGATTCATAATTAGCGACCCCAAAAAACCCCCAGTAACAAGTTGTAAGCCATATTGGATCCGCCATTTTGAATTTTTTAAATTGGACTTTAGATTCGTGATCAGCGACTCCTAATATTCCGAGTAACAAGTTTCAATCTAATCTAAACACTTTTAACAATTCGTCCAATCGGGTAAGTTTTGCAAAAATTTTTAAATTTCAGACTCCATTTTTGAGCCGACCTTTTAAGTTTTAATTTTCTCTACAGTCCTATCGTGTGACATATATATTTATGTCACGTTATTTGTAACATTTAAAATTTTTTTCTGCTATTTCGTAGTAGAAGAATTTGAAAAAATCAGCCTTTTTTAAAAAAACATTAATAACTTTGTAGTTTATAAATTTTTTATTTTTTTATAACGTCATTCGATAGAGCGCATATGAAAACATTAGAAATAATGATTGATGAATTTTTATATTGATTTTTAAGTACCGAAATAAGTCTTCAAACTTCATGCAAAAGTCAAAATTTAAATTTTCTTACAAATTCTGAAAAAGTTAAGTACAAATATTAAGGATGAAAAACTGACTTTTGGGACGAAATAATCAGATTATCGTTAAGAAAAGTAAATATAAATGTTTTGACAAACATTAAAGTGTCATTTAGCCACTATTCTGCTCCCAACTAAAAAGGGATTTGCTTTTACAATGATAGGTGATGATTGGGATTTAGTGATCTACCTGTGTACAGGTAAGAATATCATTTATCTGTGTATCTGTGTACATGCGACAGGTATACTACACACGCATGGTAGAACGGGTATTAGTCCATGACCTCAGAAGTAACCAAAACAATCAAATAAGAGATTCGTATATGGGTCATTTCAATTAGATTGTCATTTTCAGCTGCAACAAAAGTTGAAGTAGCGAGTTCTGAGACTGAAACCAATTTTTTAATCAGTTATATACAGTGCCGCTCAAAAAGTTAGAATTTCTAATTTTCAAACAATTGGAAAATACAATTCTGGCATGGAAAAGTTAAAGTAAGGTTATAAATTTATTATAAAAATTATGATTTAATTAACAATATAAATTTATTGTCAATTTTTTTCTATTAGATGGGATGATATTTTGATTTAGTTAGATCACTCAAAAGTGTTGTGACGAGAATTTCTAATATTCAAACAATTAGGCATGAAAAAATTAAAGAATAATTATAAATTGATTATAAAAATTATAATTAAATTAACCCCTTAACTGCCGACTGAAAAACACTAAATGTGCCCAGAATGCCAAGAATAAAAAATCGTTCAATTTGTCTGAAACTTGTTACTCAGGGGTTTTCGGGGTCGCTGATTACGAATCTGATCTCGGCTATTCAGAATTCAAAATGTCGGATCCAATATGGCGGACGGATTTTTAAAAATTGATCTAATTTACCTGCAATTTGTTACTCAGGAGTTTTCGAGGTCGCTGATTACGAATATGATGTCGGTTTTTCAAAATTCAAAATGGCGGATCCAATCTGTCAGACATTTTGTAAAAAAATTTCGAATTCGCTTGAAAATTATCATTAGGGGGTTTTCGGGGTCGCTGATGATAAATCCGATGTTAGTTTTTCAAAATTCAAAATTGCGGATCCAAGATGACATACCGTGGAGATCCACTTCACCCATGAACTTATTGGCAAGGTGAAATGAGATAGGACATTTCAATGGAATTTCAATTTTTGGACTCTTTTTATAGCTGTTCTATGAAACCGGCATTTGTAAAATTTGTTCTGCTTTTATGATAAAAACAGAATTTTTTTTTTAAAATGTCCGTCATATTGGATCCGACATTTTGAATTTTTAAAAACAGATATCCGATTCGTCATCAGCGACCCAGTAAACCCCCGAGTGATAATTTTCAAGAAAATCCAAAATTAAAATAAAAATATTTGACATAATGGACCCTCCATTTTGAATTTTGAAAAACTGTCATAGAAATCGTCATCAGCGACTGTTACGAACGAAAAAATATTTAAAATAATTAATATAGTTAATTTAACTATAATTATTATTTTGGGCTTTTGAGATGGCCCTATTTTCAAGTTTGTTGGAGGAAATCAAACTGCCAGAGCGTGAGCTCTATTTATCTTACTGGGATTCGTGTTTCCTAGTTGCCAAAAATTCAGAAAATTAATTAGGGGGGGGGGTAAAGAGACTATAGGAAATTAATAGAAAGAAAATGAAGAGTAAAAGTTATGATTTATTGTAATCCAAAGAAAGAATCCATCCGCCTCTCAAACAATACAAGAAAGGAGGATGGGGTAAAACTAACCAGAACGATACAGTACTTACCCGTTCTGGAACCTTAAGTCTACCGCCAGAATTCTTCCGACGGGCGAAGATACTTCACCACACACACGTGCACAATTGTTTTTAGAGTTTACTATATTCTTAAATTTTTCAAACCTTTGAAAACAGGGCGGACGCGGTAACTTTTCGAAACCGACTGGTCTTTCAACAAGAAAATAAAATCTAAAAATAAAATATTATTTTAAATAAATTTTTCTTCACTGTCTCAAATTTTGAAAACGGCCTCCGTGGACTTCGGAGTAAGTTGGTGTTTTATTTAACGTCCGACCAAATTGTTCGTGTAAGCACACAACCAATTTGGGTCCTCGGTACCGGACGGGAACATTATAGGAAATATTTTTACTCCGACAGAGTTCGAGTCTCTGTGCTGTGGGAAACCGTACTGAACAATTTAGATGTCTAATTAATGTGCTTTTATAGTTTTACTTCCTTAAGAAATATGGAAAGGTGGGGACAGGGCGTTGGACCTGTTGCCATGCCAAAACTGCTGGGCTTGCATTTTACAGGAATCGGTTCAATGCACTATGTTGCAACAACTTTATTCCCAGAAGAGAATATTTTTAATATTCTTTTAATTATTATAATAATTTTCAATTTTGTTTTTCGAATTAATCTTAAAAAAAATAAGATTAATGTGAGCTGGAATAATGGGCATTTCAAAAATAGAAATTCCATTCTATTTTGTAACCCTTAAAAAGATTGTTACAATTCCAATCTTAAATCAGTTGTTTCAATAATTATTTTAATGTGCATTGAAACCTTCCGCAAGTGTGCAATTTATGGCGGGCAAGGTTTATAAGCTAGGTTGATACAGGGAAGCAAAACAATTAAATAATAAAATAATAAAAAAATGAATAATAGTAATAATAATAACCTAAAACGTTCCCATCTATATAGATACCATAAAATTGTTAAATATATAAATATTTTTAATTTAAGACCGGGCCATCATTCACCCTATTTTCAAGATTTAGAAAATTAAAAGAATTCATAAAACTCGTTACTCGGGGGTTTTTGGTGTCGCTGAATACGAATCTAGCATCAGATTTTTTAAATTCAAAATTGCGGATCCAATATGGCGGACGCGAAAATTGAAAATGAACTGAATTTGCTTGAAACTGGTTACTCAGGGGTTTTTGGGGTCGCTGATTACGAATTTGACGTCAGTTTTTGAAAATACAAAATGGCGGATCTAATATGGCGGACAAAGATTAAGAAATTAATTAAATTTAGTTGAAAATGGTTACTTGTGGCCTTTGGAGATTGCTAGTTATGAATATAGGCACAAAACATTAACGTTCTAGGAACGTTTTAAATACATATACACTGAAAAAAATGCTATAGAATCTAAAGATATGCTATTGGGGGCTGCCAAAAGCAGATATTGTTGAATGAATTCGTAATCAGCGACCCCAAAAACCCCCGAGTAACAAGTTTTAAGCAAATCCGGTTGAATTTTTATTTTTTCGTCCGTCATATTGGATCCGCCATTTTGTATTTTCAAAAACTAACATCAAATTCGTAATCAGCGACCCCAAAAACCCCCGAGTAGCAAGTTTTAAGCAAATCCGGTTGAATTTTTATTTTTTCGTCCGCCATATTGGATCCGCCATTTTGGATTTTCCAAAACGGACATCAAATTCGTAATCAGCGACCCCAAAAACAGCGGGATACGAAGTTCTGTTTGTAATAAAAAGTTGTTTGATATTCATGACTCAATGAATTATGTTATGAAAACTTTAAACGCGTTTTTCTCGAAAACTCATTTTTCAAACTGGTACAGAGCTTTTCTCGAAATCTACCGAACCGATTTTGAAATTCCAAAAAATTTTCGATTCTTTATTTAAAAAACTGGTGCCTAAACCTCTAAAAACTCATATTTCTACCGCCTGTGTTTTTATATGGAGGTAAATTGACCCAAAAACACGGCGTTTTTGCGAGTTTTTGAGAAAAATGTACATATAAAATAAAAAAACCTTTAAAAAAATCGTTTTTGAGGTTTAGGCACAAGAATAAATCCTTATGAAGAGATTCCCGTTTGGAACTTGAATTTATGTATTACAGGTTGCCCGGAATCTAACGTACCAAAAAAAAGGTATCTTTTGGAAGACGCCACCTACAGCTATGAAATTAAACTAAATACACTCAAACATATTTTTTAAATTTTCTCTACGCAATGTGCTACAATGTCCAAAAATAGTTTTTACAATTTCTTTAATACTGTTCTTACAATAAAAGTTTTAAAACCTTCCTTTTTTGTCAATTCTAAACCAGAAAGTCCCCTTAAAGGAGTGTCCCACTTGGGAGGTTACATGATAGATTCCTGCACCAACTCCATTCCCACCTTTTGATCCATCTGTGTACCAGACTTCACAGTCAGTTGGAATACTTGTCAGTCCATTTATCCAATCTTCTCTACTAGGTATATTAATCCTATACTTTTTGTCGAAGAGGTACAAAGGGACAGTTCTGTCCCTAATCATACTTAGAAGGGGGATTCTCACCAATTTCTTTGGGAGACGCCATCTGCCCACCTCCCTGCAGCCCACAGGACCACTTAACCGCAGGGCAGCCTTAACCGCCGCTGCTTTAATTGTAAGGTGTAAGGGTTCTAGCCCCAAGAGGGCACCAAGGGCAGCAGTAGGAGTTGTACGCACCGCCCCCGTTATGCAGTTGCCCGTCAATTAGGTCTACTGCTCTAGCCAGAGCTGTTTCCGTAGAGCATCCCGCTCTATACGCATATTGATCCTTTTGTAGCGGGAACCGCTCCAAAATCTCACTGCGAATATATCTATCCACCAACCTTTCAACTAATTTTAGGATAAAGGATGTAAGGCTAATAGTACGGAAATCCTTCGGTGAGGTATAACCGTTCTTGCCCGCTTTAGGTATGAATACAACTTTTGTACCCATCCACGCTATCGGTACGTATCCCAGAGTCAGACTCGCCCTAGCAAGCCTTACCAATGGTCCAACAGCCTCATCCATCGCTCTTTGCAAGAGGACTGGGTAGACGCCATCAGGACCCGGAGACTTGTAACGGCTGAAAGATTCCGTGGCCCATCTGATCCTCTCGGCAGTCACAATCTTGTTAGCCAACTGCCTCCGCGACCGGTAATCAGCCTGCGGAAGATTTGTCGGCGGCTCAGGATCGGATCCGCCCTCCCCAGACCTCGAAAAGCCTGGGAAGTGTTCCTGGACCAGGCAAGCCAAGGTTCCATCGTCCGACTCAGAGAAAGTCCCGTCCGGCAACATTAAAGTGCCCAGAATTGCATCAGGGTTCTTAGCGAGCAGCTTATCCAATCTGGCCGCCTCTTTCCCTTTTTCGATGCTAGAGCAGAAAGCATTCAAACTGTCTTGTTTTGCTTTCCTTACTTCATTTCTGTAGTCGTCTCTCATTTTCATAAAATCAGACCAACCATTAGTCGTGCGCCTTTTCTTGGCACGCTTAAAGAGTCTCCTGGTTTCTCTCCTGTGATGTTCTAGTCTCTCATTCCACCAGCACACATTACGAATCCACTTAGTTTCGGATCGGACCGCAGACTCCACCTCGAAGACTATCTGTGAATGATCAGAAAGAGAAGGTTCATTAGAAACTTTCCATCTTCTTACCTTATTTCCAATGTTTTTGGAGCAGAGAGTGATATCAATCACTTCCTGCCTAATCGCATTGCTAAAAGTCGGGGTCGAACCCGTGTTGAGAATATCTAGATTCGTTCCGATTAGATATTCCAGTAGCTCCTGTCCTCTCTGGTTGTCCTTTGAGCTCCCCCACACCGTATGTTGTGAGTTTGCATCGCAGCCCAGCAGCAGAGGAAGTCCCTTTTCCATACAGTAGTCCACCAACCTACGAACTTCAATTGGCGGATTATTTTTATTATCATATGGAAAATATGCCGATCCTACGACCGTCTTACCTATACCCTCCAGGTTAGTTACCACCACCATTAGGTCCCCTGAACACAGATCCAATAGTGGAGTTGGGTTGACACTCTTAGTAAGAATGCACGCTCTGGGTTTGGCAGCTCTGCAGTCCCTGTAACAAACTAGACCAGCCCCACCAAGCCCCCTAATGACACCTCTTACTAACCATGGTTCTTGGATTAGTGAGATGCCTGTGTGCAACTTAGCCATGCTCCTCGTCAGTACCCCTGTTCGCCACCTGAGACCCATCAACATTCAGCAAACGCCAAGTCGATGTCTTCAACGTGGGGTTGAAAGCCTCCAAATGTCGCAAGACCGTCCGCGCGTCCGCCGTTTCTCCCGGGAACCACGCAGTAGCCTTTACCATTCTTTGGAGCATCTCAACCCCACCAATTTTCAACCTCGCTCCCTCCCAGGGCTCATGGTCGGCCACACATTTTGTCAGCCATTCCACAGCCTCCAGGTTGGAAGCGATGAAGATAAAGACTCCTCCTCTGCAGAAGGAAGTCTCAAAACGCGGCCACCTTTCGACCGGCTCCTCACAGGTGAGCGTCACAACGGTCTTCCTAAGAAGTCCAAACTGCTCATCTGTAAGCGCCACATCTGGGTAGCCCTCGCTACAGACCACCATCGTTAGAGGATTTGTCCTTTGGGCCATTGTTAGCCCAACATTGTACCCCTCTCTCCTTGTACTCTGTTGGACCGACTTTGGCTTTTTTGCACCCTCTTTTTTCTCCAGAGGTGACACATCCTGGCCACTCTTTCTCTTCGACCCAGTAGCCACACCCGAGGAAACCGAGTTGTTTACACCGGCTGCTAGCCGTTCTTTCCTTAACCGTTTCTTTTCAGAGCCGGTAAGGCGCTTTCTTTTGATTGGGGCCATTACTACAGCCTCCGAATCTCCTCCCCCACCCAAGACCACATTACCATCAGATCCCGAAGAACCCGAAGGAGCAGCCAAAGAGGAGGGGGGAGACTGACCCACGACTTCAGGATTCGAGACCGTCACATCCACAACTTCCGAGGAGGTTGTAGACGCAGCCAACGAGACCCCTTTGTCACCCAAATTTAAATTGTTGAATTGATTCTCCATTTGAAGACCCACGAGTAGCAAGGGAAAAGAAAGTCCACTCCTGCAGAGCCCCGCTTGCAGGAGTAAGGCTAATACTACCGGAAGGTCGCCCGGTGTACCGGAGCCGCCGTTTAAGACACCTCCGTTCACATCACGCCGAGACCAGCCGCCCGCCCGCCTACCAGAACCCCAGCCGGATCGCTCCCCCGAGCTTTACGGGTTCACTAACCGACCAGTACAATCCCGAGAGACAGACAGGCGGCCGGCCCGTCGTTAGCGACAGATTTGGTAACCCTAGTGCCATTCATCCATCGACACGGCAGAAACATCTTGGATTGGGGGACCGTTTCTTAGTTGGGGCCCCGCAGGCAGTACACCCCTCCGCTTCCAGTGGTGATCATTTCTGATCGCCCAAAGGTTGCTTCCTCACCATTCTTACCCTCTACTCCATAGAGCTGGTCTATTGGGCGGTCCCTCCCTTATGAGGAGCAGGCCGCCGCAAACGACCAACGAGGGAAAGAACGGGGTCCAGAGGTACTCCCCGATTAGGCATTTAAGCCACCCCACCAGCTGCAAGGTCCTACGATCCCTAGGGGCAGAGAATAGTGGCTAAATGACACTTTAATGTTTGTCAAAACATTTATATTTTCTTTTCTTAACGATAATCTGATTATTTCGTCCCAAAAGTCAGTTTTTAATCCTTAATATTTGTACTTAACTTTTTCAGAATTTGTAAGTTAATTTAAATTTTGACTTTTGCATGAAGTTTGAAGACTTATTTCGGTACTTAAAAATCAATATAAAAATTCATCAATCATTATTTCTAATGTTTTCATATGCGCTCTATCGAATGACGTTTTAAAAAAATAAAAAATTTATAAACTACAAAGTTATTAATGTTTTTTTAAAAAAGGCCGATTTTTTCAAATCCTTCTACTACGAAATAGCAGAAAAAAATTCTAAATGTTACAAATAACGTGACATAAATATATATGTCACACGATAGGACTGTAGAGAAAATTAAAACTTAAAAGGTCGGCTCAAAAATGGAGTCTGAAATTCAAAATTTTTTGCAAAACTTACCCAATACAATGATAGGTGATGATTGGGATTTAGTGATCTACCTGTGTACAGGTAAGAATATCATGTATCTGTGTATCTGTGTACATGCGACAGGTATACTACACACGCATGGTAGAACGGGTATTAGTCCATGACCTCAGCAGTAACCAAAACAATCAAATAAGAGATTCGTATATGGGTCATTTCAATTAGATTGTCATTTTCAGCTGCAACAAAAGTTGAAGTAGCGAGTTCTGAGACTGAAACCAATTTTTTAATCAGTTATATACAGTGCCGCTCAAAACGTTAGAATTTCTAATTTTCAAACAATTGGAAAATACAATTCTGGCATGGAAAAGTTAAAGTAAGGTTATAAATTGATTATAAAAATTATGATTTAATTAACAATATAAATTTATTGTCAATTTTTTTCTATTAGATGGGATGATATTTTGATTTAGTTAGATCACTCAAAAGTGTTGTGACGAGAATTTCTAATATTCAAACAATTAGAAAATACAATTCTGGCATGGAAAAATTAAAGAATAATTATAAATTGATTATAAAAATTATAATTAAATTAACCCCTTAACTGCCGACTGAAAAACACTAAATGTGCCCAGAATGCCAAGAATAAAAAATCGTTCAATTTGTCTGAAACTTGTTACTCAGGGGTTTTCGGGGTCGCTGATTACGAATCTGATCTCGGTTATTCAGAATTCAAAATGTCGGATCCAATATGGCGGACGGATTTTTAAAAATTGATCTAATTTACCTGCAATTTGTTACTCAGGAGTTTTCGAGGTCGCTGATTACGAATATGATGTCGGTTTTCCAAAATTCAAAATGTCGGATCCAATATGGCGGACATTTTTTTTTCAATTTTGAATTCGCTTGAAAATTATCATTAGGGGGTTTTCGGGGTCGCTGATGATGAATCCGATGTCAGTTTTTAAAAATTAAAAATTATGGATCCAATATGGTGGAATTTTTTTTTAAAATTTTGTATTCGCTTGAAACTTGTCACTCGGGGACTTTTGGGGTCGCTGATGACGATTTCTATGACAGTTTTTCAAAATTCAAAATGGAGGATCCATTATGTCAAATATTTTTTTTTAATTTTGGATTTTCTTGAAAATTATCACTCGGGGGTTTACTGGGTCGCTGATGACGAATCGGATATCTGTTTTTAAAAATTCAAAATGTCGGATCCAATATGACGGACATTTTTTTAAAAAAATTCTGTTTTTCTCATAAAAGCAGAACAAATTTTACAAATGCCGGTTTCATAGAACAGCTATAAAAAGAGTTCAAAAATTGAAATACCATTGAAATGTCCTAACTCATTTCACCTTGCCAATAAGTTCATGGGTGAAGTGGATCTCCACGGTATGCCATCTTGGATCCGAAATTTTGAATTTTGAAAAACTAACATCGGATTCGTCATCAGCGACCCCAAAAACCCCCGAATGATAATATTCAAGCGAATCCAAAAGTTTTCTACAAAATGTCTGACAGATTGGATCCGCCATTTTGAATTTTGAAAAACCGACATCATATTCGTAATCAGCGACCCCTACAACCCCCGAGTAACAAATTTCAGGTAAATTGGATCAATTTTTAAAAAAGTCGTTCGCCATATTGGATTCGCCATTTTGAATTTTGAAAAACCGACATCATATTCGTAATCAGCGACCCCGAAAACCCCCGAGTAATAGCATTCTGCATAGCGTTAACTTTTTAGAAATCATTTTATTTTTAATTTTCAGCCATTTTTGACTTTTTTACATCAATTCAATTTATTAAATACCGTACTTATTAATTTTATACATGTTATAAGAAAAGAAAATCACAAGACAATTCTACTGAAAGTAATATTAAATATCTTTAAAATTTTATCTTTTGACCTTCATATGGGAAATTCCACGTGAGATTTCCGTCGACCTCTTAAAATCGGCCAAAAATATTTTTTATCTAGTCTGTATTGGAAAAAAACAGATACGTATTTTTTTATTACTTTTTTGGAGGCCAAATTTTTGAGTTATAAATTTTCAAAATTTTCGTTTTTTAAATGAAGATATATTTTTAACCCCTTGACTGAGAGGGTACGTCTATAGACGTACATTTGAAAGTGGGCTTCCAGTGTGAGGTACGTCTATAGACGTTATATTATTAAATCTCAGGCAGCATACATTATCATATCAAAATAATATCTCACACAATTATATCAAAATGTTTTCGACGTCGCTTGTTACGAATATGAATTTCGATGACGGACTAATTTTTTTAATTCATTGAATTCGCTTGAAACTTGTTACTCGGGGGTTTTCGAGGTCGCTGATTCCGAATATGAAGTTAGACGTATTTTATTGAATTTATCGTATTCGCTTGAAACTTGTTACTCGGGGGTTTTCAAGGTCCCTGATAACGAATCTAAGCTCAGATTTTAAAAATTCAAAATGGCGGATCGAATATGGCAAACATATATTTTTTAATTTCTCGGATTCGATTGAAACTTGTTACTCGGGGGTTTTCAGGGTCGCTGATAACGAATCTAAAGTCCATTTTTATTCAAAATGGCGAATCCAATATTACGAACACATGTTTTTAATTTCTCAGATTTGCTTAAAACTCGTTACTACGGGGGCTTTCGAGGTCGATAATTACGAATATGAAGTTAGATTTTTAAAAATTTTAAATAACGGATCCAATATGGCGATCGTATTTCTTGAATTTATCGGATTCGCTTGAAACTAGTCGTTACGCTTGAAATCGCTCGTAAAAAAACGAAAAAAAAAATAATTTTTTTAAAAATACATCATAAATAAATGAATACCTAAGTTCAGTCTTTCTTTTTTTATAAAAGCAGAGATTGTCCAAAATAAAGACA